CACATCCTCTAAACGCTTTGCTAGGGCCATAATGATATGAATAGAGATCGCTCTTACCACAGAAATGCACGCTTCAAACAAAACAGTCAATGAAGATGAAGAAGAGGATGATGTGTTCTCCCAGTGCCTATTTATACTATAGTCGTACCGGTAGTGATGTCATGGCTGTCGCTGGCTTGTGTTGTTGGTGTTTTTTCAATGTATGCTTCAGACACGGGTCACGACGAGGCGTTCCCCATAGCGACCCCTAGAGGACGCAGTTCAAAGTTCCCATGAAAGGGAACTTAAGTTGTGTTGAGATAACTTATCCAACTTAACTAAACTAAAGTTATCTACACTTTACATACTTTTTTGAACACATTACTTAGTCTAATGTTGAATTTTAAGTTGTGATAACTAACAACTTTTCATTAATTCATTCATTCATTTATTCATTCGTTTGTTTGTTTATTTATTTGTTTGTTTAGACACCAAAGGTTAGTAGAGTCAACATTTTAACTAATAAATCTCACTATACTTCCACACTTGATTAACCACAGTACATTAATGCAATTGTTTTGTTTTACACGTTCTCTGAAATGTTATGTTTAAATATACAAATGCACCATTATCTAATTAAATCTGCCATAATTTGCATAGATTTCCTGAACAGAAACCTGAACACTGAACAAAACCAAGTTCAAAATTCCTATTTCTTTTTGTTGACATATTTGAGTTAGTGTTTGCAGGAAGTATTTAGGATCTCTAACTCCATAAATCAGAAAATTATGGAAGTCCGTTTCCACCACTAAATAAAATAATAATAATAATAATAATAATAATGATAATAATAATAATAAAACAAGGTAATTGTGACTTTTTCATCTCACAATTGTTACTTTTTTCTCACAATTCCAACTTCTGACTCAGAATTGTGATTTCATATCTCGCAATTTGGAAAAAAAAAAGTAACAATTGTGAGATATAAACTTGCGGTAACACTTTAGAATAGGGAACACTTATTCACTATTAACTACGACTTTTCCTTCAATAAATTCCTAATTTGCAGCTTATTAATAGTTAGTAAGGTAGTTGTTAAATTTAGGTATTGGGTAGGATTAGGGATGCAGAATAAGGTAATGTAGAATAAGGCATTAATATGTGCTTAATTTGTACTAATAAATGGCTAATATTCTAGTAATATGCATGCTAATAAGCAACTAGTTAAGAGACCCTAAAATAAAGTGTTACCAAACTTGCATTACGAGAAATAAAGTCAGAATTGCGAGATGCACTGTAAGAAAATAGTGCATCGTTTTTTGTCCTCAGAATTAGACTTTATGACTCACAATTGCAAAAAACAAAACACAAAGTTTATAGATCACAATTCTGATAAAAGAAATCAAGAAAATTGTAATGTAAACTAAATTGTGGGGGAAGTCAAAATTGTGAGATAAAAATTCCTTACCTTGTTTTATTTTTTAATCAGTGGCAGAAACGGGCTTCCATATTGTCAACAGCAAGATAAAAAAATCACCATGTTTTAGGAGTAAAAAACAAACCCTTCTTTAAGAGTAGTAAAGGTTTTTTCTAAAACTGTAAAGTTGGTGTATGCAAGTGCTACTGAAGTAAAGTTTTAGGCTCAGTGCATGAGGGGAAAAAAACAACCTTGAATGTAATGTAATCAAAATAGATAAAAGGTAATAAAATATGCACCTAAATATGTATTTTAGATGTTTTCTTTTCACTTGTCTGAATGAAGAGAAGTTGTGGAAGCAAAATAGCCCTGTGTTGGTGTGTGTCTTACACTAAATTACCCATAAGGCTTTGGGGACAGGTTATGTCAGTGCATGCGACTGAAAACGGAGTTGACGGATATAACAATATAAGAGTTTTGCACATGAGACTGAGTTGAGCTGTTGCTCTCAATAAAATCTCAAGAGTACGCAGACATCGTGTGAGTGCCTATGTGACAAGCCCCAAATCTCAAAATTGACCAGTGCATGAAATAACATTGGTTTTGCTTTTAGGGTCTTGTCTTAATGGTACTTTTTTGTCTCTTTGGAGCTTGACGTGGTCAATGAATGAGCATGCTTGGAGTAGCGTATATAAAAAATGGCAGAGTTTTTGGGTGAACTATTACTATTAAAAGGCTGTTTAAACTGGATTGTCCAAATACTGTCCATTGTTTGGTCAGGACTAACAAAGGGGCCGAGACTAATCAGTTTCTCTTTAATTTTCAGTTTATTGAGCCGCAAAATGCAAAGTCAGAGACTATAAGTTCATTGGTGGAAAAACGATTTCCCAAAAGGATCTGCCATTTTCCCTTCAGTTTACTCAGTTCTCCCCTCAGTTAGTCGACTTAAGCCTGGGTAAACCTTGGTATCAGTATTTCTGCTGTTCAGAGAGTCAATCTCGCCAAAAGAGTAGCTTTTGCCTGAATGAAGTCCAAATAAAGTCTGAATAAATCCGAAACCAATTAGAAGGCCCTCGCAGGCGTCTTACATTCATCCCAGCGATAAAACCAAAGCCCATCTAGCTTCTAGTGGAAAACTTATAATTAAGTACTTTAGATTCAGAGAGATGCGACAGAAAGCCAGCAAAGTTGTAGGTTTTCTGATGCCTCTCATATCCCAGGATTCCTTGTGGCGATGCGCATTTCCTCACCTGAGATATTGGTGGTGATTTCGGTCAGGGCGGTCTGGCCAAAGCCCTTGGCGGTGCGGGCGCGAACAGACACCAGGTATGTGGTGCCGGGGTGAAGCCCGGAGAACATGTGATATGTCTCGTTCTTTAGTTTGGAGACGGTGCGCCGTGGGCCGGGAACGTTGATGCTGGGATCTGACGATTCGATGCTCTGGTAGCTGATCTAAAAACAGGGAACAGACAGTGAACCCAGAGGAAATGAGTGATCAGTGTTGACGCATCTCTGTCCTATAGAGTCCAGCTTTACTTTACCCACAACAAAACCTGATGTCTGCACTTACATTACTTTAAACAGTAGCAATCACAGAGTCTTATTACATTCAGAAATTACAGCATATTTTTTGACTCATTTAACCCCAGCTGAGATTTTACGATTCCATTTTCATCCATGCAAGAGGAGTCACATTCTTTTTATACATATATAAATCTGTACCATATATATATAAAATGTTACTCAGCAGGCATGTATGATTTCATCCAGAGTTAAGGAAATTATTTTGGTAACCGCATATGCGTCTAATGACAATGATTCAAAGAATAACCAATTTCTAATTCTGTCTCCATTATATGATAAAATGCCCCACCCCCTCCCCAGACAATATGGCTTATCATTGGAAAGTAGTAGCAACTTTACATGGCTGCTTGCTCTAATGTTATCTAGATAAATTTGCACTTTTAGTCACATGTCCAAGTGTTTGTGCGGAGTGTGGAAGCTGTTAGTGCGCTACTGCATTTTTTTTCCTGAATAAAAATGACTTAAAATATGCTGTCATTTTCACTCCTAAAGATAAAAGTAATATATAATTCAAAACTGTAAAGGGTCTACACTTATTTATATACACTCACAATATCAACAAGTCATTGTGCTTTTATAAAATAAAGAAAATAAACAGGGTGCACTTTCTGCCTTTTCGGTCTCCGTGAACTGGAGCGTGTCACAAAAATTAACATAACTCAGCGTATACTTGCCTTGCTTGAAATGTCTTGAACCCATTCAAACCGAAAACAAAAACTCTTTCATTATGTAATCTGTATTAAAAGTGCATTTCTCTCTTTAAAACTATTAACTATTTATTAATAAATAATTAATGCCATTTTTTTCCAGCACATTCATAGTCATTACTTTTGCGGGTGTGTTGCTGCAAGCTTCATGCATGCACTTGAATGCGGAATAGGCTAAATATTAAAGGTCTCCCAAGTATATATTTAAGTAATTAAATTGAAATAAATGTGCGATTAATTAACTAATGGTTTAAATTAGGGCTGTCAGTCGATTCAAATTTTCAATCAAATTAATTACATGATGTTTCGATTAATTAATCGAATTAATCGCAAAATAAATTTGACTGTGAAAATACCCACAAAAGATTATTTAAAGCTATTTTTGTGTTAAATGAGAAAGTATTCAAGTAGCTAGACATTAAAGTGTAGCTTTAGAAAGATATTTTAATGATTTGATTCAACATAACATTTATTACACAAACATTTAGGCTACAACGGCCCAACATAAACTATGGACAAAAAAGAAGATAATTTGAGAAACATCTCAGTATTTTTTTGTTCATACAATGAAAGTCATTGGTAATCAAAACAGCTTTGTTACCAACACTCTTCAAAATCTTCTTTTATGTTCCACAAAAGAAAGGTTTGAAACAACATGAGTAAATAATGACAGAATTTAATTTTTTTCGGTGAACTTTCCCTTTAATGTTTTTATTTGTATTTTTTATTTTTTTTAATGAAATGATACTCTAAATAAGAAACTAAATCTGCCAGCAGGTGGCGGTAAATGTCCTCATTCGATTCATTCAAACGGCTGATTCATTCAGGAATAAAGTAAACAGCTCTCTTTATGAATGGGCCTTTGAATCATTGATTCACACGATTTGTTCAAAACACGGA